TATTTTATAGATAAAATATGTATATACTTCTCTATTTCTTTTTTCAATTTGTTTTATATAAAGATAAAATTAATAGTTTAAAAAATATAGTAGGATAAAAAATAAATCAATTTATAAAAGTATGTAATCTTGATATTTATATATAAGATTTATATATAAGATATTGGGTAATATGTCTTCTTTGAGACAATACAATATTTCTAAATCTTATATTGCTTGAGTTTGATAAAATATAAAAATATTTCACATAGTAAACTCAAGTTTTCCAATCATATATAAAGAATCTAGTTGTTTTATGGAAACAACAAATTAAATTTATATAAAAAATCCATTAAAATATTATTTTCGATATAAAATAGCGAAAATACACCTTCTATAGTTTTATCATCGAGAAAGAAATGAAGCATAAAGTATTCTCAATTGGTTTTCAATACTTCTAAGCACAACGCCAGCAGCATTTTCGAGTTGTCTCTTTAAGAGCACGCCTCGCAAAGAATTGCGTTATGAGCGGATTATTATCGTCCTCGTAAACGCGAATCCGTCGACTGTGATTTATTTTTTATGTTTTTTGTTGTTATCTTTGAACATTAACCAGTTTCATTAATTCGGTGATGCGATTACGTTCTAAACAAGATCTGCCATTTAGATGACGAAAAGCAACAGTAATCCGATGGAACAAGCAAAAAATAGATTGTTTTTTGCAAGAATCTCTTTTGCAAGAAGCGTTTGAGAAAAGCAAAAAATGATCTAATTGGTTAAGATATATATTTGCTAACTCTTTTAATATATTTAAAATGTTTAAGAGAAAACTTTCTGTTACTGTATTAATATATATTAATATTATACAAATTATGTTATCATATTTAATATTGCAAATCATAAATTTTCGTCGTTTCCCAATTTTTAATTAAAGTATTTATAAAAAAGAATAATAATTAGACTAAATTATTCTAACTATAAATTAGGTTTTTGATAAATTTTACTAAAATGCAATTACATTTAGAAACCAATAATTAATTTGTTATATTATTATGACTTACGTTATTAGATTCTAAATTAAATCATAAATCGTAAGTTATTATTATTTTCTTTACAAAATGATACTTCTTTCTTCAAAAAAATGTTATAAATTTATTGTTTTGTTTTAACAAAATGTTTAATTGTGAAATCTATTTAATATTAAACTATTTGACCAATTTAGTATGCATTTTACTATTATAAATATGTGCATTAAACCACATTTTTTATTCTATTTAATTATTTAGAAAATTTTATTTTACATTCTTATTTTTTATTTTAGCAAGACTATAAAATTTATTTAATAAAATTGTGTGACCGATTTAGTAAATTTTTAGTATTTATTTGTAAATA